CGTCATCATGTTGGGAAACACGGTAGACGGCGATGCTCTTCGCCGCACACAATCTTCCATGTGGCAACAGCAGCAGCAACAACAACCCATTTCTCAACAAACTGTCGAAGATGGACAACATAATCCTACAAGCAGCAGCTCATCCGAATCAGGGGTCGTCCAAGAAGGAAAATGGGGTGAGCAAGGACAGGAAGATGTCACTGCTCAAGAGGCCATGCAAGAATTCGAGTCTCTACGTCACAACTTGATGAGCCTACACAAAACAAGAACAGCAGACACTCACACAAGTAAAGCTCAGAGTAGACGGACGAGTACTGCTGCTCGAGTTCGGTCAGAGAAACATGAACATGAACATGACGACGATGATGGCTCCAAGACTGATGTGGAAGCTAGCCCTGAAGACAGTGAGGGGTTCGAACTCGGCCGTTTTATGCGAGAAGGCCACTTCGAAAAGCGCTCTGAGGAGGACGGTCCTTTGAAGAGAGTTGGTGTTGTGTACGAGAACCTCACAGTCAAAGGCGTCGGAAGCACAACAACTTTCGTTCGAACGGTTCCCGATGCTATCCTTGGCACATTCGGCCCCGATCTCTACAATGTCCTCACCAGATACTTCCCTTCTCTCCGGATTGGAAAGCCCCCAACCCGAACACTCATTAACGACTTCACCGGATGCGTACGTGATGGCGAGATGATGCTCGTCCTGGGACGACCTGGCGCTGGGTGCAGTACCTTCCTCAAAGCTATCAGCAACAACCGCGAATCATATGCTGCCGTCGAAGGAGAAGTTTCGTACAGCGGAATCTCTGCTGCTGAGCAGAAAAAGCACTACCGGGGCGAGGTTAACTACAACGGCGAAGACGATGTCCACTTCGCTACTCTGAGCGTGTGGAAGACTCTCGCTTTTGCACTTACCAACAAGACCAAGATCAAGGACAAGTCCGACATTCCGGTTATCGTGGATGCTTTCATGAAAATGTTTGGTATCAGCCATACAAGAGATACTGTGGTCGGTGATGACTTCACTCGGGGTGTCTCTGGTGGTGAGCGAAAGCGAGTTTCGATTGCAGAGACATTAGCATCCAAGTCTACCGTGATGGCATGGGACAACTCTACTAGAGGATTAGATGCATCAACCGCCCTCGACTACGCACGATCTCTGCGTATTATGACAGACATCAGTAACCGAACTACTCTCGTAACCCTGTACCAAGCCGGAGAGGGTATTTACGAGCTGATGGATAAGGTCCTGGTCATCGATCAAGGCCGACAGATCTTCTCCGGACCAGCCAATAAGGCAAAACAGTATTTCATTGACCTTGGATTCGAGTGTCCCGAACGGCAGACCACAGCAGACTTCTTGACTGCCGTCACGGACCCGACCGAACGACGCTTCCGACCTGGATTTGAACACCGCGCTCCCCGAACACCAGAAGAGCTTGAGTCGGCTTTCAGAAATTCACCACATTACCGAGAGCTCCTGGCTGATGTTGCTGCATATAAGGAGTCTCTTCACCAGTCTGACTACCAAGACGCGAAGAGGTTCCAGGGGGCCGTCCAGGACTCGAAGTCAAAGCACGTCTCCGACAAGTCGCCTTACACTATCTCGTTCCCTCGACAAGTGCTTGCTTGCACTAAGCGAGAAGCTTGGCTCCTGTTCGGCGATACCACAACACTCTGGACAAAGCTCTTCATCATCATCTCCAACGGTTTCATTGTTGGATCTCTCTTCTATGGGCAGACTGAGGATACTGCAAGTGCTTTCAGTCGTGGCGGTACCATCTTCTTCTCGATTCTATTCTTGGGCTGGCTTCAGCTTTCTGAACTTATGAAGGCTGTGTCTGGGCGTGCCGTTGTTGCTCGACATCACGACTATGCTTTCTATCGCCCTTCGGCTGTTTCCCTTGCTCGCGTTCTACTCGACTTCCCTGTTATCGCTGTCCAGGTGTGCATCTTTGGCCTCATCATGTACTTCATGACTGGGCTTGATGTGGATGTGTCAAAGTTCTGGATCTACATGCTCTTTGTGTATACCACAACTATCATGGTCACAGCCCTATATCGCATGTTTGCTAGCCTGTCCCCAGAGATTGACACAGCTGTGCGATTTTCGGGAATCTCTCTCAACCTGCTCATCATCTACACAGGATATGTCATCCCCAAGACTCAGCTGTTGAAGGATTATATCTGGTTCGGCTGGTTGTACTGGATCAACCCCATCAGTTACAGTTTTGAGGCTGTCTTGACCAATGAGCTGTCCGATAGAATTATGGAATGTGCTCCCTCCCAGCTAGTTCCTCAGGGACCCGGAGTTCAATCTGAATATCAGGGCTGTGCTATCAGCGGAGCCACAGTCAATGCGCACTCAGTGTCAGGCAGCGATTATCTACAAGCTACCTACAACTACAGCCGATCGAACCTATGGCGAAACTTTGGCGTTGTCATTGCTTTTGCTGTTCTCTACATCCTCGTCACGGTATTGGCAACAGAGATGGTCAGCTTCACACAAGGTGGTGGTGGTGCCTTGATCTTCAAGAAGAGCCGAAAGGCTAAGGAACAAGCACGCAAAGCCGAAGCCCCTGTCGACGACGAGAAAGTCGTTGGAAATGGTGCCAGTAGCTCTTCCGGCGTTGTCGCTGACCCCAACCCAGGCAGCGAAGACGAAGCCTTGGAACAAATCACTGATAGCGAGTCTATCTTCACGTGGCGTGATATCGAGTATACAGTCCCATATCTCGGTGGTGAGAAGAAACTTTTGAACAAGGTCAGCGGATATGCTAAGCCTGGTGTCATGGTCGCCCTTATGGGAGCTTCGGGTGCTGGCAAGACGACGCTTCTCAACATTCTTTCCCAGCGTACAAGCATTGGGGTCGTTACAGGCGAGATGCTTGTCGATGGAAGATCTCTTGGCGCGGACTTCCAGAGAAACACTGGATTCTGCCTTCAGGGTGATCTGCACGATACAACTCAGACTGTGAGAGAGGCTATTGAGTTCTCTGCCATCCTGCGGCAGGATAAATCTGTCAGCCGTGCTGACAAGCTTGCATACGTGGACAAGATCATCGACCTGCTGGAGCTCAATGACTTGCAAGATGCCGTTATCATGTGTCTTGGAGTGGAACAGCGTAAGCGTCTTACCATCGGCGTCGAATTGGCGGCCAAGCCTTCATTGCTTCTCTTCCTTGATGAGCCCACTTCTGGTCTTGACTCACAGTCTGCTTACTCCATTGTTCGTTTCCTCCGGAAGCTGAGCCGCGCTGGTCAGGCGATCATCTGCACCATTCACCAGCCAAGCTCTGTTCTTATTCAGCAGTTTGATATGGTCCTTGCTCTCAACCCTGGAGGCAACACATTTTACTTTGGCTCTATGGGCGAGAATGGGGGAGACGTCATCAAGTATTTTTCAGACCGCGGTGCTGTCTGCCCCCCTAACAAGAACGTCGCCGAATTCATTCTTGAGACTGCTGCACGACCTCACAGGCGGCCTGACGGCACCAAAGTTGATTGGAATCAGGAATGGGTTGAAAGTGAAGAAGCTCAAAAAGTGCTTGAAGAAATTGATGGTCTCAAACGAGTTCGAAGTTCTGCGACTGAGGGAATGGCTTCTTCAATCAAGGAGCACTCTGAATTTGCTGCACCGACTTGGCTTCAGACGGTTGAGTTGACCAAGCGTATGTTCCGACAACACTGGCGCGACCCTTCTTACATCTATGGGAAGTTCTTCGTTGCGGTCATCTTTGGCATCTTCAATGGCTTCACCTTCTGGAAACTTGGCTACACGATGCAAGATATGCAGAACCGAATGTTCACTTGCTTCTTGATCGTGACAGTTCCTCCCACCGTCGTCAATGGTGTCGTCCCCAAGTTCTTCACCAACATGGCGCTTTGGCAAGCCCGAGAATATCCTTCCCGTATCTATGGATGGTTTGCTTTCTGTACTGCCAACATTGTTTCTGATATCCCCGCGGCTGTGGTGTCAGCCGTGCTGTACTTTGTGTTGTGGTACTGGCCCACTGGACTTCCAACCGAGAGCTCTGTTTCAGGCTATACATTCCTGATGACTCTTCTCATCTTCCTCTTCATGACAAGCTGGGGACAATGGATCTGCGCGTTTGCCCCCAGCTTTACCGTTATCTCTAATGTAAGTTCTGCCCTCGAAATTATATTTTTTTCGTACTAACACCATTAGGTCTTGCCCTTCTTCTTTGTCATGTTCGGTTTGTTCAACGGTGTTGTTCGTCCATATGCTTCACTTCCTGTCTTCTGGAGGTTCTGGATGTACTACGCGAACCCCTCTACATACTGGATTGGAGGTATCCTGGCAGCGACTCTTGATGGCACTCCAGTGGAATGTTCGTCCCAAGAGACCGCCAAGTTTGACGCTCCCCCAGGACAAACATGCCAAGAATATGCAGGAGCATTTGCAGACTCCGCCGGAGGATATCTTCTCAACCCCAACGCCACGAGTGCTTGCGAGTTCTGCCCAATGTCTTCTGGTAACGATTACCTAGCGTCGCTCAATATCAATGCGAGTGACAAGTGGAGAGGTATGCTGATCTAACGAAGCCGTATTGACACAATGTTCTAACATACTGCAGATTTCGGTATCTTCCTAGCATTCTGTGTGTCCAACTGGATGCTCGTTTACTTCTTTATTTACACAGTCCGTGTTCGGGGATGGAGTTTCGGCTTTGGAACGATCTTTGGAGGATTAGGCAAGTTGGTTGATCTGATCAAAAAGCCGTTTCAGCGAAAGAAGGAGGAGTAAGAAATTGATTTAGCGAATGCAATTTAGAAAGGATATGGAAAAGTACTAGCGAGGATTTGAGATACAATAGAAAAGCCAGGCTGGCAAACGAAGGATCGTATAGCCCTTAATACTACATCTAACATCAGTTTCTCGAAATGTCCAGTAGTAACTGTGACAAATTCTCGCCGCCAAATGTACCGCAAAACCAAGTATGTTGCCGTAGAATTCCAACCCTTCCCATAAAGCTCACTCATCACTCAGCATCACGCTTCATAGCTTCCTGAACCCAAACCGATCTCTCCCTTCCCAGCTTCTTCAGCTCTTCGTCCGGCAACTCATTGAGCTGGAGGTAAATATGAGGACTGGGCACATTGCGTCCTTTCTCAAAACCAGGACGCTTAAGGAGCCTGTACATCCAGTTCTTGACGTGAGGGAACTCGTCAATCTGGGAGAGGCCACTGTACTCTGTAAGTGGAGATTAGTTGCCTGAGTGTATATAATCCCTGAGTGGAATGCTTACTGTATGCGGTAGTCCATGGCCAAATGGCGATGTCGGCGATGGTAAGATGATTGCCAACAAGATATCCAGATGGATTTTCTGCAAGAGCCTTGTCCATCGTTCGGTAGAGGCGGCGCGTCTCGTTGACGTATCGGTTCAGAGCATATGGATAATCACCAAAAGCAGACACTGTATAGGTATATTAGACCAGTTACCCCTTTTATGACACTTTAATACTGGGAACGCACTCTCAAAGTGGTTTGCCTGGCCTTGCATAGGGCCGAGACCACTAACTTGCCAAAAGAGCTATTGGGGCTTCGATTAGATATCTCTTCAAGTGTAACTCGTCGGTATCGGGCTTACCCAGCTCGTCATCTGCCAGTACTCTTTGGTACCACGGGGATACGAGATCTTGTGGTCCTTGTCATACCGTTCCACAAGATACTGCAAGATAGCGCCGCTTTCCCAGATCTTAAGTTCGTTGCCATGCTCGTCTGAGTCGACGATGGCTGGGATACGACCGTTTGGGTTGATGTCAAGAAACCACTCCTCTTTCTGTTCGTGTTCGAATAGTTTAATTGCACGAGCCTATATATATGGACTGCGTGAGAAGTAGACACGGCTATTTTGGGATGAGGGCTCGTACATTGTATTTCAAGCCCAGTTCCTCAAGTGCAATAGAGATCTTGAGTGGGTTGGGAGTGCCTTCGCAGTAGAGAGTGATGGTATTCTCAGCTGACATTATGGTCTAGGGTCTGAAGTTGAGCAAATATTGATGGTAGTTAGAGGTAAAATGTTGATGTTTTCAATTCTAAATCCTCGATGCTTCTCCTTTGCGGACGGCTCTTGGTTCATATTTATGCGAATCCTATTCTCCCACGCTTTGGATCTTTCGCATTCGAAGTCGAGATAATTATTCATCATTCTTGCTTGGAGATCAAGGTCCAATTGCGTGACTTGTTGTACTTGAAACGGTTAATGGTATCACAAATGAGGCTTAGAAGGACGAGGATCTGCTGTATCACAGCCTTCTTCTTGATCACAATTGTTGTTGGTCACTTGCCAAAGAAGGGCAATGGTCAACCAAAAACGGTAAATGGTGCACATAACAAGGAAAGGGTCCCTCATTTGCACTATAATGAATCGGAAGCTGGTAGGTATGATTATCAATCCGGTCAGCTTCCGCGGAGCCTTTGAAATCACACGCCCAAGACAAAGGCACTCAACTTGTAGTGGGCCTTGTTTGGGTCTGATACCTTCAGAATCTGACCTAGGTCTTGAAGACTGAAAACTGTTCGCAATGTTTCCTCCATGCTTTTCCCCGATCCTTTGGCTTTCTGTGGCATAATTTTTAGGTGGTGTCACAATGACAGGGATGGAGGAGCCTCAAGAGAAGAAGAGTCTCCTCTTTGTTAATGCCAATCAAACAACCTTTCCTTCAAGTCGAAATAAGCATAAGTCAATTGATTCCGAGGTCCGTCGCCATGTTATGCTTGATATTGGCCGGGCCCGACGAAAGCCATCAAAGGATCGCCAGTTCACTACCTTAACATGGCAGACAGAAAAGCACACTTGCAAACAAGAAGGTCCAAAGGACAGGCAATTTGGTCACTCAAAGACACTTGACGAGAGCCAAGTCACAATAAGCACACCAAGCTTGTATGCATTGGCTGTCTTCGAGCAGGAATGGGGAGAAGATTCGTTCTCGGCATACGGGTTTACTCTCATCATGACCACGGGGAAGAATGCGATGAGCGGCAGTAAGTGAACTCAAGTCCTATGATAATCTATTCTGGTTAGTTTGTATGTACTGAACCTGAGCATACAGCGAATTTGGCAAATGCGTTTTGGTCCCCTTTCGCCTTCAGAAAGTCTGCCTTCCTGAAGCACTACCAGAAAATCTTTAGTTCACCAGATGCTCTTATCCCATTATACCACCAATCATCCCTAGAGCTCAAGTCCATAGCTCTAGAGCGCTCGCTTATGACAATTCGGTGTATCGAGTCCAGACTTACAAGCTCTGATACGAGTTGGGCAACATCAGACAGCGTTATTAGCGCTGTTCTAGCCCTCATCTGCTACAATGTATGATTCGTACACGCCCTTAGATATGATTTCGGGTCGTATAACTGAAATTGAGGTAGTTTTCCAACCTAGATTTTGACCAAGCGATGGTTCATATCAGGGGTATCTGGATGGTCATTGAGGCCAGGGGCGGCATTTCTACTATAGAGAATAACCAGGACCTATTCCCCATGATATCATGGTATGTGAAAGTCCTTCTGATACTTCATCATTTAAATCCACAGCGACTTAATGGTTCCCCAGGGTCGATATCACAGCAGCACTTCTGTATGACACGAAACCCTCATTTCCACTACCCACGAACATGGGCGCATTCGTTCGCCCGGGCCTGAAAGCCCTCCCAGATCCTCTTTCCGGCCTCCTGAACAGCGTTATATTGTATGATGAGCGCTCTCTGGTGGTTCTTTCATGTATGGGGGACTTGACTGCACTTGCGACATTCCTCCAGACCGAGCAGGTGACCAAGGGCGACGCGATCTGGAGCGACGAAGAGCAAATGGCTCTCCTTTTGAACCCAATCGCGCATGATCTATTGAATCAACAATATTTAGAATCTACACAATCTGGGACACCTTTCGAAATAATCTTGGAGTCAATTCGGCTTGGGGCTATCATCTGGATCATACAGGTGAAGCGAAGGTGTCGCTCTTATCCCGGGACTGCTCAAACACATATCACAACACTCCTCGGAATAATGTCAAACGACGCGGAAGCCTATACTACAGGGAAACGCAGTGCAGACCTGCAGATTGTTCATCTCTGGCTCCTGGTTCTCTGCAGTGTCAGCGAACCTAGTGGCCAGGACTATTCGACCCTGATGCGATTAATGGCTTCCAAGATGAAAGAATTGAACCTGCTCACTTGGAGTCAGCTTGCTTCTTTCATACAGAGAATGCCTTGGATCTACTTGAGTAAAGTGCCGGACTTGAACACCTTGTGATGCTGGTTCAGGGGTATATTGGAGAACATTATGAGTCCATCCTCCACACCAGGATATACAAGTTCCCACCCCGACTTCATTTGCTTATTTCTTTATCATATTCATTTCCAACACCTAATAATATCAAACAATACTTCGGATAGTTCTACATGTCCAACGCCAAAGCATGTCCTTCCTTGCTAGCTAGGCACTGGGGCATTTCTCCTTCTGACATAGAACCCCATGAGACTGACTATTCAAGGCATCCAACAGTAGCTCCAGCTTTATTCTGGTCGTGAATCACTGTCAGATCCTCATCAGTGAAAGGGCTGCCGCGTCATATGATGAGTTCAAGAAACAAAAATCTCCACAATTCATAATCTTGTTGCATCCTCCTGTATCCTCTTGCATCAATTCCCTTCCATTACTTTCTAGTTGTTTCTTTACTCGAGATCTCAGCTTCCCTATATATTCTTCTTCATTTCAATCTCTCCTCCTCTTCTTTTCTTCTCTTGTATCCTTTCTTTTGCACACTCAAGCTTCGCCGGTGTCGAATCCCGGCCTCACAACTCAGATCATAAGGCGCTTCAAGGTAAAGCTATGTGCCACGAATACTCTACACTTCATTTACTGTTTATTTATCATTAGATTGCCGTTTCTTGTGTCCCCTTCCTCCGCCTGTGTGACCTTCCAAATGCAGCTTCGCGTGTGAAGCAATCCGCATCAGCTTGCGTATCTCAGCCTCAAGGTTGATGGTATGTCACTTCTCTTTCAACCTTGATACTTTCTTGTCTCCAACAGTTTAATGTTAGAGTCCGTTTTCGTCTTACTGTCGCTATCGCTATCCCATAGGAGGTCATTGCTCATCGTGGTCATCTCTGCGGTATGTTTCTTCTTAACATCGTCCGTTTCCTTTCTCTAACCAAAAAGTAAAGCAGTGATACTTAGTCCATACAGCCGTCGCCTAGTCACACTCCCGACAAGAGCCCCTTCAAGAAGAGGCCATCTTAGCTTCCATGTCGGGGCCAACTTCATATCTTCGCCTTCTTTGGGGTCATTGTGGTCTCCAGTGTCGTCATCATGGAAGACCCCAAATCGCCCGCTGGTCATCAGTCCCCAGACGCTGCTTAGAAAGCGGCCGAGGAGGCTACCAAGGCCTCACCACTTGCTCACGAGCCACAACAGGGGTCAACCCCTAATGCCGATGCCCCCATTGAGCCAACTTCACCAAACACAATTCGCGATGCCACGACCCCAATGCCTGTGTCAACTGATGTATCAGATGACAATTCCGATCTTGAGGGGTCATCTTCTACGTCTCTTGAAAAGAGGTCGTCCTAAATCTTGAAGCCAAGATCCACGAATTGGAAACCCAGCTACGAGAGCGTAGTGGAATCAGCTCCGTTCTCACGACTCCCTATGCATCATTGAAGCGAAAGATGCAGGAGGAGCTCTATAACCCCATTTCGAAAAAGATGAAACCAGCATCTGAGGTCAACTTGGAGAGGGGCTCATTCACCACGGAAGTTGCAGGTCGATATATGAGTGTCGTTCACAATGAAGTGTTCCGGATGGCAGGCAGAGCTGGGCTCATCAACCCAGCCGACTTTGACGTGGGTTCAGATGGGGTCGTTGGTCTATCGAAACGTGCCTTGAAAAATGTATATCCAGACGACAGGTCCTAGACCTTTGCTGAAGGCGTTACCAACGGGCTACTGTGCACTGAGAGGACCCTACGATGGCATCGGGGCTCAGTGGCCAGGTGGAGGGCATTGGCTTAGGAATGAATTTGGGGGAAGATACCTTCGGTCTTGAGAGATAGGACTGACACGCTATTTTGGGGTCATTTGGCAGCAGAGAAGGCTTTCCAATCACTTGCAGCATGTCGCTTTTGGGTGCATATGTAGATCATCTTGAGGTCATCTTAGAGCTAAAGATTCACTCTTGGTTGGGATCAAAAGGTCAGATTCAAGGATACTTGTCGATTCAAAGTTCAAGTTTTAGTTATGACCCCATAGAAACAAATACCTGCTCTTCTGCATTGGCTGAAAACACATTGTGAAAGCATTCGATTTCTTGTGTTATTCTTGCTGGTTGTATATCTCGTCTCTTACTGTCAAGGCCGTAAGAGGGGAAGTCATAAAGGGGTCATTCTTGTTTGATGGATCATCTACACATCATGGGGTCATACAAGAGCTTGAATGTGGCCAATTACGCCTTTTCTCTTCTACACGTCTTCAATGGGGCCCTTACATTCAACAGAGCTCCAGGCATCGCCTCGGTTGTTGATGACCTTCAAATCACCACAAGTTGAGTTTACTTGTAGACAATCAGACTCAAGAAACTACTAAGGTATCATACAGATCACAACTGATGTCCATCCAATCTTTGAAAGGACCCAACCAGAGCTTTTGATGAGATCCATCCGAGTTTGACTACATCAAATTTAGCATCTCCTGTTGTGCCACATCTGCCATTTCCCTTGATAGAATATGAGCTGACAACTCTTTCCATACAACACCCAACTTGTGGGTATCATCAGCCAAAGTCTCCAGGATACTCCAAGACGTGGCACTAGACAGCTGAACAAGTATTTATGGAAACACTTTAAACTCACGATATAAGCATTGGCGGTGTAAGGTTTCTCTCTCAGCACGGGGAATTTTTTCCACGATCGCGCACTCTCTCGACGTGGGCCACAGCGGGACGGCACGCGAGGTCTCCATTTTGGCTTTTCAGCCCTACGGGTCGGGTCACTCACTCACTTCAACGTGTCCAACGGTTGATGAAGCATTCAACATTTTGTGAGTCAGTTTGTGAAAATTCTGAACTGAGCAGAACAACGAGGTCGAGCATGGTTGAGTTGGCAATTGGTTGACTCAACGCAGCGGACATCATCCATGTAAGTCGGGCCCTCGCTAAAGAGAGGTAGCGAGTTAGGTTCTGCTGTAGAATACGCGAACTGTTGAATCGCTGTAGCCTCGGGCTTCACCGTCTGCTGATTTTTACATAAGTGGTTCTTCCTCCGTGGCAAAGTATGTGCTGTAACGGTAACGGTAACAGTTGCAGTTACTGCAAGACCTTGCCGTTGTTGTTATTGTTTGTATAAAGTCGTGCGTACGTGTGCTGGATATTTCTACTCAACCAACCTCTGTAACACAAGACAATCTAAGTGGATACACAAGCAAGGGTTGTACCATTTTTGCGAATTCACAAACAAATACATACATACATAATTAAGCCTTCATCACCTCATAGAGCAAGTCAACAATACTGAACCGTGCTGCTCGAAGCGACTCTCGCATATCGTTCGTCAATTTCACTGTGGAGGTCCCCCTGCATCTTCAATTTTCACCTCCAGCCCCTCTCTAGCCTCTCTCCCGTTCAGGCCAGTTCGCCGCGAGATGCGCAGACTACAGCAGAGAACCAGCACTCAACAAAGCCAAGCTCCAAGCGCAAGCTAAAAGAGAACCATTCCTCTTTTCCAACTGGACGACACTTATTACTCCCAGCTTCCAGGGGTTACAACACAAGTTAGCCCGCTACTGTACAGCAGTGGAGTAGGCAAAAAGAGACCCCTGAAACGCGCGAATCGTATCTCCAGCCACTCGAATTTACGGTGAAGAAGGATCATCGCGTGTGTGTCCCGTGCGTGCCCGCCTTGGCCCCTCCGAGACTGACACTACTGTACCTCACTCTTACAGTACATACAGCTCTGACTTGCATCTGCATTGGATTCGTTCGCAGCAGCAGCGCACATCCCTTTAGTCTATTCTCCTCAGAATCAAAGTGAGGATCAATCATCGACACGACACAACACAACACAACACAATTCTTCCTTCAATTGAATTAATAGCGCCTTTTCTTTCACGAATGCGTACAGTCTGAGGTTTCCCTTCCTCTACCTCTCTACTTACCTACCTGTCTTACTCTCAGCCTGAACCCTCACCACCAAAAAAACTTCCCCCCGAGAATCCTCAAAAAAATGGGCTTCCTCGACTGGAACGACGGTGCCTCCGTCCTCTCAGGCAGATCTCGCCGTCACAAATCCTCTCGTTCTCACAAGAAGCGCCGTTCGCGATCCCGCTCCCGCTCTAGCTCCCGTGAGCGTGGCCGTGGTGGCCTCGCCGATATGGCAGACTCCTTCTTTGGCGGAGATCGCTATGGCAAGCACAATTCCTCGCGCTCTTCATTCTTTGGACTTGGCGGTAACAACAGCCGCTCGAGCTTCTTTGGAAACAGTAATTCTACCCCTCCCAGCCTCATACCTCGGAATCGAAAAGGTTGCTAACTCGCTGACTACCTACCTAGGTCGCTCGTCTTACTACAAGCGCTCCCCACGTCAAGGCTTTGTCCAGAAGACATACAAGCAACTCAAGCGTCTCCTCCGCGACCTCGTCCATTGGGCTAAGCGCCACCCATGGAAGGTCTTCTTCGTCGTTATCATGCCCTTAGTCACGGGGGGAGCTCTGACTGCTCTTCTTGCCCGCTTCGGCCTCCGTATCCCACCCGCCATTGAGCGCATGCTCGGTGTCGCCTCCAAGGCTGCTACCGGCGACTCGTCCGGCCTTGTAGGCGAAGCTGTCCGCATGGCCAGCGGTTTCGGCGGCAACAGCGCCGTTCGCGTAGAGCGCGACACGCACTCCTACAGTGGTGGCGGCAGTGGTGGCGATACTTGGGGTGGTTTTGCTGGTATGGCCAAGAAGTGGATGTGATTGTTACTTCAGCGAGATGGCGTCGTTACTTTGGACTTTTGACACTACTTTTTTGACTGACGAGACGCACGCAATTGGCTTTGCTCGAGGCGTTTCAGGAACGGAACGGAATGGAATGGTAAGGATTTACTTGGGAGGATTATTGTGCCCGCATCGCCATGTTACTGGTGGTTTTACATAGAGACTGCATGGCAGCATTCTTGAATACATTTCACGACTTAATGACCCCTGAATATTGGGCTTTGTACCTGTCTCGAGAATGTGATCGCCTTCTTCCCAAACTCTACGATGTCATCCTTGTCCCGAAACAGACCCAGCATTCAGTAGGTGAGGAATGGGGTTACGAATCATACCTCACGTCGTCATAAAATTCAAGCTCCAAGTCATTTCAGCACTATGTTCATTACTAGTTCTGTGCATTTAGCAGCCTCCTCCGCAAAATACCTAGTTAGATCTCGTATTGACAGCGGCATAGATGCCACATTTGGGTTGTCCAACTCCCTGAGGAGTCCAAGCCACCCAAGTATCTGACTCAACCATCGGCCCTGTCGACCTGGGAGTCAGGTACATGAGGCAATGCCAGATACCAATGCTATTCATGCAATCATTAACCTCTGCGCCCATTCCGTTCCTTAAACTAAAATACTTGGGTTTCCATCGATCCAAGGCCCATACCAGGTCTGTTGATGCCTTGCTTCTTGACCAATAATATTGATATGGCCATTGCTCCATGCAGTGGCCCCAAATAGAGTCGACTCGGTAAGGCTGCCGAGTAAAGCTTCTCGGTTGTGGGATGCCATAAAGAATATTGTACATGCACCGTGCAATTGCAACGGCAGTCATAGAACGCCAACGCTGTAGAGTTTCTTCAAGTCGCATATCTCATTCATTACTTCGCCTCACCCTCTTTCTCCTTAGCGGGCTTCCAAAACTGCATCATTCGACCCAGTTTCTTCGTTCGGCTACTCTTTGCTTTCTTGTGATTCTCGTCGTTGTCCAGTGTGACCTCCATTGAGAGCTTGCTCCGTTCACCGTGAGAGCTACTGATGAGACGGCTGAGGCTGGCAAGGCTTGATCGACGTCGTCCAAAAGCAGCAGAGGAAACCGAAACTGGTCGAGGTTCTCGGAGAGTGGGCTGGGATTGACGCTGGCTTGGGAGGAACATGCTTTCCCTCGTCATTGTAGAGTTGCTAGATGTCAATGACGGGATATCATAATCCACCGAAACTCGAACCTCAGGTCCAGGCTCTCCCATCAAAAGCAGAGACCGAAAGTTGTTCTCGTCGGTGACTGATGAGGGAGCTGTTGAGATTCGCTGAACCTCAACAGACATAGGTGACCGGGGAGATGGGAAAGAAGACGAGTAGCTCATGGCATAAGGGCTGTTCGGAACATTGGCTGGTGCAGGGAGATGCAAGGGGCTGACTTCACCAGGTGACAGATCCTTGGTACCCGAGAACCTTCTCAATGAAGAAGGGGTAGAATCAGCAGCCTCGGTTCGCTCAGCAGGCATGAAAGGGGATCGAAAAATCACGCTTGGCATCTCCTCGGCGATAACACTTTCGTGTAAAGATGACCTTGAGCGCTCACCCCGCACCGTACTCCCAGATATTTGATCCTTGTCACTCAGGCTGGAGGTGGTTCGCCTCATGGTCTGGTTCGGTTGGCTTGAGCTGTGCATTGAAAGCTTGTCTTGCGAGTCACGTAAGGGGTCTCTTGTAACAGCAGCTGGAGGTGTAGCATCACTGTCAGAGTCAGTCTCTTCTTCAGAAGAGTCATCTGTGGTCCCAGATCTGGCATTGTCGTCATCATCCTCTTCATCTTCTTCGAAAACATCAGCCATTGTTGAGCTACTGTTGTAGCGGTGTATGCCAGCGCGGCCTGGATCAAATGGAGGTAAATCGGGAGCAGATTCTGCTCGACGATGATAATGCATACCAGGACCACTAAAGCCCTTCATGCCTTGAGCGCTATGAAGTCGCCGCTTACCGGCACCGCCAGCTGCTCGTTGCGCTGCCTCCCACTCTGGATTGAGTGGTAGAGGAGTGTTGAACGGGCCGAGAGCTGCGTCGAGGTCGATCATAGGATACGATGATTCATCTGCTGATCGCTTCGGTGCTTCATCTTGAATGTTGGGAGATTCGGTGACTGTGAGAGTTGGTGTCGAGATTTCCAACAATTCAGGCTCTCCATACATGGCATCCTCACCTTCGTATCGAGCGACTCTAGGAGCTGGTGGAGTTGGAGGTCGACCGCCCTCAGATTTTGATCGCTTGCTGTGAGATTTAGGCTTTCGTGGCAATATAGCCCCGGCCCAGCCTTTCACCTTCTTCTTTTTCTTCTTACTCTTTTTGCTGCTCTTACTCTTGACGGGACTAATTTCAGCATTTTCACCAACTGGATCGACTCCATGTCCAGTCACCGGCAATACCTTTGTCAGCAGATCAATTGACCCGGCGCTCTGTGGTCTCTTGCCGGGTGATGTGTTTCCAGCTGATGAGTCTCGAACGAAAAATGACCAGCGCTTCCTTGTCGGACTTGGTTCAGGATCTTCCGCTTTGGGAGCCTCAGCAAAATTGAGTAATGTCGGAATCGAATTTCGACGCTTTGGTGAAGATGGCGTGTTAGCTTGATCAGGAGTACGCTCGAGGATAGCGCCTGCAGTGCTTGGCCTCGAATCTGAAATTTCGCGAGTTGATGTTTGAGATAATGGCGAAGGGCTATCACGGCCGTTGTGAGATGCAGCTGAAACAATTGACGATATGCTGCCAGATACAGAGTGTCCAGGTCGCGCTGTTACTGTACTGGAAGTCTCATTAGAGACGAGGGACAAAGGTCGTGGGATAAACTCAAGCGTGTCAGAAAAGCCGACACGAGCCTTGGGTTGCTTGGGGCTTCCGCTGGGTGAAGGTATTGAAACAATTTTCTCAGTTTCTTTTGGCGCCTCGAATTCGGCAGCAGGTTCGGATTCAGGTACAACCTTCTCATCTAGAGGTAGAGATGGCTGGTTACTAGGCTGGCCGAAGGTGGTCGGGCTAGTCGGTGCGCTGTTTCCTCGGCCGGCGGCATCAAAGACGGGAGGCTGGAGAATTGGCAAGTCATTTGTCGAGATGGCGCCTGAAATACCTCTTCGATGGCCTCTTCTTGGTGGTTGAAATGTTGGCGTTACGAGTCCACTCTCTGACTTGGTAGGACTAGTGCTCATGATGGCGATCGAGTTGCCCTCGCGGATACGTCCCCCAACGAATTCACTCCCACCTCTTCGATGTCCATGGCCGCTGGGTCGCTGCGACGACGCAATGTTTCTGGGAGAATGAGGTGAGATTGGAGGAGTCAGGAGAAAATTGTTCTCACGGTCTGGCGAAAGTAGAGCACCAGGGTTGAAACTAAAGTCAGGCAATGCCGAACGAGACTGTCCGTCTGCATTTTCAGCAGAAAACCCAAAGCTGAAGTTAGGAGTCTCGATGGCCGACATGGGACGACGACCGGTCGCTCGCGAGAAGGAAGAGGGCGCGGACGCCGGGGCAGGCGGTTTGGCAGGAAAGACGAATGGAGGGTTTGGCGGTGGCTCATCGAGCTGAGCCTGTGATTCAACCGATTGAGGGCCAGCAAATGAGTTCATTGAGGAAGCGAATCGATCGGAAGGGCTATCGAACGCTGGACCGGGAGTTGGACGGGTTAGCCGCTCGGGGCCAAATGCGGTTGCCATCTTCTCCTCAGCCGCGCAGCGGCAACGAAGTGATGGACAACAATGTGTGAATTAAAGGTTCATAGGACAAGTAAGGCAACCGTTCCAGAATCGCCGGGCTCGCTTAATTATTCGGTTCGAGCAAATGGATAGCAATGGTGTTGGAGGTTTCGAAGAGAGTCGCGTCTGAGGCGTCACAAGCATCGATCAGTATAGATCTTGAGACTGAGATTGAGCACGCAAAAAAGGCAAAGAGTGTCGGCTTCGAGAAAACAATATTGCTACAAATAATGGCGAGCAAGTCGTACTGGGGCAACGGACCAGATAGCACGGCAGCGACAGGCTTGAAAGTCGTCGAGATGAATCGCGGAAAATTGGCTGGACGAACAACTCGAATGGCGGATGTTAAAACTATGGTATGTAAAGAAAGGAGTGGACGGCCAAGACCAGCGCAGCTCTACAAAAACAAGAGAGCAACTGGAATCGCACCAAGAAGGAAGAGGTCGGGAGGAGGAAGAAAGAAAATCTTCGCTCGCAAAGGCGGCGTTTTCGATTTGAGGTGCGGCCGGAGAGATGAAGAAGAGAGGACGGGACGGGACGGGGGAGGGGAGGATAAAACGCGATTTCGTGATAAAAGGCAGGCCAGAGGGAAAGAGGTAAAGCCAAATGCACTTGTGTTCAGCCACGCCCAGCAAGCGCAAGTGTATGCAAGTGCAAGGGGTCCCCACTGCCAACTGTGATGGGGGTACGTATGGGCAGGTACCGCTGCAACCAACACGACTGCGAATGGACGGCCGGAAATGGCCAGGGAGGACATGCATCTCTAGTACCTCTGCGCTTCCTTCCAACTTTGGCCAGGCCCCAGGCCCAAAGGTAGGCCCCCTAGTCTTGGTAGTTCATGATCCCTAGGTAATCCCTAGTCCCTTAGTTCTTAGTACCTGGCTTGCTGGCGTGGTCCTGGACAATCCGCCCTGGCATCCACAGTCCACACTCGAGAGAGACACGACATGGCCAAGGGGCGCCACCTCTCTCGGGGACTCCAGCTACCCGTGTTGACTACCAAGATTGGATCGAGTGGATGCCAGTGGAAGGCGGTTCATGAATCGACTCGGTGTTGAGGTGACCCGATCAAGAAGCCGAGGGAACCCAAAAGGGATTGTGTGTGATGAACTATGCTACTTTTTGGCAACATGTGTGCAGTCTGATGCATTGTGAAAACACCTATTAAAACGTGGAGAATATCTGGGCATAAATACATGCCCAAGGAAGTCTTATCAAAACACATACACAGTATAAGGTAGATTAGGTATTC